GCATCGCTTCTAGTAACAAGTGCCTTACTAGTAGTAACAAGAAGCTATTAGGAACAGTTTGGTTCAAAGCCTCAAGAGAATAAACTGTCTCAAGGAGTGCTTGGCATGTGTGAAAATAGCCTTGGAACAAGCAACTAGCCGCTAGCCTTGCAGCCGGGCTTCTTGAGTTCCTCCACTCTATCCCCAATCTCTTTCTTCTGACACCGGATATGCGGCAAACTCCGGTCACAAAGCTCCCCCAATCGATGCAATTGCCGGAACTTGTCCTGGTCGATGCACAATCACAAAGACTATGGAATCCAAACCACTGCTACTAGTAGCGATGCCCTTTGTCACTAGTAGCTTCTTGTTCCTAGTAGTATTGCCAGGAGCTAATAGTAGCGTCCTTGTTACTAGTAGCGATGCCCTTGGTTACTAGTACTGCAGCCAAGCATCCAAACCAATGCACTCAGCAGCTTCAGAAGTTACTTCCACGCGCGACTTCCTCAGCTAGGGGACTTAGCCACTGACATGCACCCTTTTCGTATTCAAAAGGAGGCAGTGGCTAACAAGTGCAAGTGGCCAATCTGCTATCAGTCGATCCTCCGCGTCACACGATTGACCAAGCACGTTCTTTTGCTTTGCCAGATCCTGGCTGTTTCGGTCACTGCTGCTGCATGGCCATCCAGTGATACAGATCTTCTTGAAGCCCTGTCGGTCGACAAACCAAGGCGCATGGGTCAGGAATCAAATTTAAAAACTGTCCACGCCAAGACCACGACAGGTTCATAAAGGCAAAGCGAACTCAAGACTGAGTTCGGGGAGCGGGGAGACATCGAATTCACTGCGACACTCCAAGCGCAGCAAAAACAGAATGCAGTACAAACGGCGAGAGGTGTAACATGGTTTAACGACCTGCCACGCCTTCTTCCTAGCGGTGTCCCAAAAATCAGTCCAATCGGACTGGTTTGACCATTGCCCCATTTGAGCCATCTTCTCGTCGCACTTGTTGACGACAGCGATGATATCAGCATAGCTTCCTTGAAGAGAAATCGGGGTTTGCGTTTTCGTACATAGCTTGACCTAGGAGCATGGACGCTACTAGGAGCAAAGGGCATCGCTACTAGGAGCAAGGACGCAATTAGGGGCTCCTGGCATCGCTAGTAGGAGCAAGAAGCTACTAGGGGCTCCTGGCCTTACTACTAGTAGCA